CGCCCCCTGGTGGACACTAGAGAGAATGCAGCTTTAACACATGAAGCATCGGTTTCAATTTTGTTGCCTCCAGATTTACATTTTTTAATAAACTATAAAGATAAATATACTTTCTCCTCCTGGTGTCTCACCTTTGCAGCGTAGCTCCACATGTCGATGCGGTCCTGAAGTCTCTTCTTGCACTCCGGCTGCAGACGAACTCTCTTGTCCTGTAACGCCTCCATCAGACACGACATCTCTGGACGGAGAGAGGGAGCAACGAGTTCAAACACGCACACACACACACACACACACACACACACACACACACACACACAGATCTAAATGTGCTGTGTGAGAGCACCCACGTCGTCCTCTGCCGGGTGTGATGGCGGCACAGTGGTGTTTGAGGTCCAGAGCGCACGCCGTGTGGAGGACCGGGTCAACGAAGATGTCCGCCTTACTCTCCTTCAGCATGTTCAGGACTTCCTGCAACAAAGACGTGAGGAAGACGGCTCAGTTTTCTGCACCCAAACTGTTTAAAAGAGAAAGAATAGTCATCCATCTTTACAAGCTTGTTTTCTAAAGCAAACCACTGTCTTGTTCGTTAATTAATGCATTTATCCTACAGTCTACGGACACCTGAACACACCACCAGGAGGAGGAGTTTTATTATTACAATGAAAAATCAACAAACTCTAAAGATTACATGTTAACTCACTGAACTAGTTGTTCATAGGAGTCCTTTCATTGTGAACTATCCAGATCAAATGATCATCGATACTTCTGGGACTAATAATCCTAAATGAGTTCACTGGACACAAAGATGGATCATATTTTGACCTTTTTACAGGCTTCATGTTTGATCTTCAGCAGGTTGACTTTCAGACACTCCTCAACCTGACCGGTCTGCTCCTGAGCTGCTGCCTCCTCCGCACACAACCTGGAGATCTGCAGGAGGAGACGACGAGGAGGAGGGAGGAGAGGGGAGAGGAAACAGGTGAGGAGAGAGGAAACGGGTAGGGAGAGGAGAGGAGGAGGAGAAGAACCAAGTGAGGAGAGAGGAAATAGGTGAGGAGAGGAGATGAAACGGGAGAGGAGAGGAAAAAAGAAACAGGATAGGAAAAGAGAGGAAAGAGGAAATGGGTGAGGAAACAAGAGAAGAAACAAGTTGAAGAAACAAGAGAATGGAGGGAATGAGAGAAGAGGAGGAGAGGAAACGAGAGAAATAAATCCACAATAAATCATAAGTTTATTAAAAGGTAAAGTCTGCAGAAAATGAATGTAAGTCAATGTAATGTCCTCTAAAGTGATGGAAACGTGTGTGTGTGTGTGTGTGTGTGTGTGTGTGTGTGTGTGTGTGTGTGTG